TACAAACGCAGAATAGTGAAATTATTACTTTCCATGATTTGGCAACAATATATCTGTTGGAACCCAAAATTGCATTTATTTATTATTTCAACCACATCATACTGTTTTTATTTAATTATTTATATGTCAAATTTATATCACCACCCAACTTCCCCACAAGGAGGGACTCTGGGCGGTTGACTCATACTGAGTTTGTAATCAATTACTGTTGAACACCCTTTTCCACAAGTAATATTGCCAAGATAGGTATCTGTCTTGTACCTGAGCATTTGCTTTTTGTTTCCAAAGAGAATTCTCCACTTGTCTCTGCTAAATTTAATTTGATTATTTTCTTCACATTTCTCTAAACAATATTTTGCATGGGTCTGTCTATATAAGACATAAAAAGTCCAACTCAATTGGAGAGAGACTTTATTTTAACTTCCCTATTGATCTCAGAACATTGTCAGCTTTTGCTTTTCATTTTTTCCCCTCACTGGAGCTATCTGTAATTGCACTTGTACTCTTTCTCTCTCTTTTTTTTTTTGAAACACTGATCAATGTTGAGCTTCTTTTCTATCAGTGATCTCTTACTATGGAATTCTACTTATTAATTGAAGTTTATTAAAATCTACTTTCTTGAAGTCTAAGATGCATGTTTAACTATCCAGGTTTAGTTGAAATCAAGAATTCCAGCATGACTTATTTATTTTTGCCAAAAATTCTATCCCCACATCATTAGCCAAGTCTTCTCTACTGATTATGATCAAGACACAAAGAACTGCTCTTATTGCACCTTCCTCACAAGCATGAAAGAGAAAGTTGTCCACAGGACAGGTCAGAATTCACTGGAAGTTTGCAAACTTGATCTTACAACAGATGTTGGGAAGATTAAATCCTCCCATCACTAATATATGATATTTGTTTAAAAAGCAGTTTTAATAGTAACCGAGTTAAGGAATGGAATCAAATCAAAACTTCAGGGTTGATACAAAAAGACTGTGATTTCACATGGGAAAAGTGAAACTTAGCAGAGCAAGGTCTAATTGGAATAATATGCTATGCTTCATTCAGTGGAAGCAATTTCTGCTAGTAGAATTGCAGGGGAGACAATGATTTCGTCTTCCACTGTGATCTGCCATGAATTCCAAAATCTGCTCTAGAGGGTCCTCCCAATTTCCACAGCAGCTTTTGAAGTCATGCAGAGGGGTTGCAGGGGGGCACAAAAGCAGAAGAAAGCCTAGCTGATTTCTGTTTGCACAGAATGGAATTCAGCCTATATGGCAGAAATTTCTCCTTTGTAGGAATATGCATCATACAATTACAACATGTTAAGTAAAGTGCACACATACACACTCATCCTAGCCTAACTCAAGTTTCCATTTTATTGATGTGGAAATTTGACCAAGTCTTGAATAGGTTATTTCTTTGATAGGATCTAAAAATTGTTTTCATCTGCACATTTTATCCACCTAAGTCTTGAATTATTTCATTCACCGTTCTCAATTCCTGAAAGGCAACATTGATACTTTAGACTACTTTATAGGCAAGGTCATCAGTGCTGGGAACTGGGTGGAAATATTGTCAAACTAAATTTATACATACCACCTCTCTACCGCTCTGTTTTATTCTATGCAAATACAATAGCCTTATAAATGGTAGAATCCTGGAACTCTTGCAAAGTGTAGATCTCAGAGAGCTGTTCTTGCCATTAGAATGACTTAGTTGTATCAAGAAGAAAATCTAGGACACTCTTTAAGAGTAGCAATTAGATAGTTATGGGAAAGGCTGTCATTGAAATGTTATGTCTCATATGCCAAAATACTTTGGGCCAGCTCTTTGAATTCATACTTGTGTCTGTATCAATGACATTACAAATAAATGTTTCTCTAGCTATTTCTATCCACTTTCCTAACTGACCTATGAAAATCTAACAAAAACCACAAACAGAATACTGTGCTGATGTAAGTTTAGAAGATTAGGAAATATGAAGATTCTGTTTCTAGGGATTCCTGTGGATGGATTTTACACTTTCAAAATAAAATGCTAGCCATGCAATTCATAAAACTTGTATTAACTTATAGCAACTTTGCAAGAACCAGAGCTGATAGAACAGAAATTTGCAAACTGGATAATCCCACAGGCAAAAAGTTTCACTTCTTTCTCCTCCATCCTGAAACCCCTATGTTCTTCCTGTTTCTCACTTCTGAAATCTTCCCAATATTATGGGGGAAGGATTGTGAGGATTGCCCCCACCCCCAACCTCACAAGCATCTGTATTTCAGACCTCAATCTCCTATCCAGGCTTATATAAAGGAGAACCTATATAACACTTGCATTCCTATCAACTGTTAGAAGTGCAAGCCAATCAATTCAACCTATTCCATTTTCATTTTTGCAACTGACCCCTTCAATTTGTAGGTCCCAGGAAGTCACCAAGAAAATATATTTGTCAGACTTTTTCTATTTTCCCCCTTTTAGTTGACAAACTGATATATTTCAATATACTTTTTTTAAATTTTAGGGCAGCCTGACTCACTTCCAAACCAAGAAACACTGTACTATCCAAGCTAAGTAGTATTTATATACTATTGACTCTTTCCTTTCCCAAGTTTCTTTTGTTCACCTCAAAGTAATTTTGGATAGGGCAGAGCTCACATTATGGTCACCCCATTAGAACAAGTACTGTCCCCAAAGCCCCATTTGCAAATATTTACCATGTGCCTCAACAAATTGCATCTCCATGTCACCTCCTATTTCCCCAGCAGTCCTTGGAAATAAAAACAAGCAAATGAGCAGTGTGCTCTGAGTCACATCTGTTGACTCCTCCTACAAACAGGCACAGCTGAAAAATATGGTTGGTTCTGTCCATAGTTCATTTAGTGTGTTGTCTGAGCCATAGAGTCTGGCTTGTTCCCCTTGGAAAAAGTCAGAAAAAGAAGCCAAGAACAAACTGATGGGGAACATAGGACTGGCTGGATGTTTTATTTAGTAAGATTTTCCATCTGTTTTTCCATCTTTAAATTAACTTTGAAGTGGAAACATAAAGGTATCATATAAAATCTATTTAAACTAATAAAAGAATTGCAACTTACAAACAGTTCTCATTAAACAGGTTACAAAATCAATGCTGGCTACTAAAAATTGGTTCCTAGAAGTTTCTTAGATCAATATTTAAATTACAATTGCAACTCAAAGTCAGCAAATCACTTTGTATATACTGTACTGTCTATTTTGCTCTAAGACAAATCTAGGAAAATATATGAACACATAATTAGTTGTCTGCACATACTTGAAAAAGTTACAGCTGTCTTCAGAGAAAATAGCATGCAAATGACTTTTACATGGTAATCTCCTGGTTATGGCATTCTCAAGAAACTAAAAATAATTTTGGTTATATTCCTAAACAAGTAATTCCACGTATTGATCGGGAAATGAAGTTCTATCAAACACCAACTCAAATTTAAGGCAGGGAGGTGGGGAGAGAGACATATGGTCACATATGCTTCAACCTACACATTACTCTTGAAAACAGATTCCAGATTTTGGGGGCAGGGGAGGGAGAGATTAATGTTTCTGCTTTCAGGGAATACATCCATTGAAGATTTTTTTGCAACAATGGCATTATCACCTCTTCAAAATGATGGGAAAGCATCTTAATCCCTATACAGGTAGTCTTAGTTGAACAACTACTCGTTCAGTGACCATTCAAAGTTACAATGGCGCTGAACAAGGGGGACTTGCAACTGTTCCTAGTTGTAGCTGTTGCAGTGTCTCCGCACTGATGTGATTGCAATTTGGGTACTTGGCAACCAGCTTGCAATTACTATGGTTGCAGCGTCCTGCAGTCACATGATCACCATTTGCAACCTTCACTGTCGGCTTCCAACAAGCAAAGTCAATGGGGAAGCTGGGAGGAGGTCACAAATGGTGATCATATGACTGCAGGATGCTGTGACTGCATGGGATTCACCTAATGACAGCAACTGGGACTGCCACAACTGCTGTCATAAGTTGGTGTTGTCATGTGACATGGAGCTTTATGACCGCATCTCTTAGCAATGGAGCTGCTGGTCCCAATTACCATCATTAAGCAAGGACGTATGTCACTCACACTGTTGAAGCCTAATGATATAACAGCCTGCTGGATAAACCAAAAGCTTAATCATCCTAGTATTCTGTTCCCAAAATGGCCAACTGGGTGTCTACAAGCAAAATGCAAATGCAATTACATCCTCATGCTTCCCACAAACTGTACTGACAGGAATTTAATACTCAGGATAACATGTAGTAATCATGACTAGTAGATTTTGGTCTAATCATCTTTAAGAGTTTTGTTGCAATCACTGTATCTTATGTAAGAAATTCTAGTTTCTATATATTGTTCCAAAAACATGCTTTTTATTCAATTCTGAATCTCTCTCTGCTAAGTTTTAGTATATATGAAAACAGGTTCTAATATCAAGAAGGAAGAACACCATACCACGTGCTCCACACAATTAGCAACCTCTTGTGTATTTATTTTATTTCTACAGAAAGTATACCAAATGTTGTAACCTTTGCTCATAGAGGAGCTGTCACTGATAATTTTGTCTAGTGTTTTCTGCATTTTTGCAGCTCTGCATCATTTTCTGAGTGTGAGCAGGACTGTATAAAGTTCTGCCAGTTTTACTTTGGATCACTTTCCAAATAATGTTTATCAATATGAACCTGCCTATTTCACAACAGCCACATAGTGAGTCAAAGCTTTTGTCATGCCATTCAGCACCATCCCAGTTTTAACCTCCTGAATTCAGTTAAACATGTTCATGCTGGCATATGAAGCTTTACATGGTTTAGGCCTAAGCTACAGGACTAACTGCTCCCATATAGTGTGTCCCACACTTAGATCATCAGTAGGACACCTTTTGTGGTCCCTCCAAGGATGCCTGACATCAGTGTAACTCAGCTTTCTCCATTGTGAAGCCCAAGTTACTGGAGTTGAAGTAAGTGCTCTCCTTACTGCAGTCTAGGATGGGACTCAACATGTATCTTTTTAAACCTGTTGAATTCCACCGTTTTAACTTCAGTAAGGGAGACTCTGAGTTCTAGTTCTGCCTTAGGCATGAAACCAGCTGGGTGACCTTGGGCCAATCACTTTCTCTCAACCCTAAGAAGGAGGCAATGGCAAAAACCTTGCCCAGAAAACTGCAGGGACAAGTCCAGGCAGTCACCAGGAATCAAAAACTGACTTGAAGGGCCCCCCTCCCTGCAAAAAATCATCATCATCATCTTGCCCTGGGGTTTTTTGCTCCATGAATATCAATCTACAGTGCCAGTCACTTAACTTCCTTTGTCATTTCAATATCTATTTGCCTTTGGAACTGATGTTGCTATTTGAAGTAGCGTATGTGATCTTGCGTTTGTGACCTTGCCTGTCTCTGCTTCACCTGTTAAAGCTACTGAGCTTTCTATGTCCCTTTGCATATGGCATTGATGTAGGATGGTTGGCACACACTTTAATTCTACAGGGACTAATACTATATGTGTGCAGAGAACCGTTGAGCTACTGCAGTCATTACTGCCAGCTTAGCTTCAGAAAATCATTAGGATGGGTTTCCTTTGTTGTATCGTTTCTCCTGGCCCTGTCCCACCTGTACAGCAGTTCCACCAACATTTCCAAGGGGAAGCTTGCAAACAAGACAAGGTCTGAAAAGATGGACTGCGGCAGTCTGCTTCTATTAGGAACATCACAGTGCGCCCCCCCCCCAATGTTTATGTACACAACAGGGGCACTTTTTGCAAGTTTCTCTGCTTTTGCTCTCATCCATTCACGCCAGCGACCCAGGAAGAAGTTCACTTTATGCCTTTTGGGAGATAGCAGTAACTTTAGCTAGCTCACCAGCTTCTGCCAATAAAAGATGAAGGGATTTGCTGGCGAGGACGTGATTTCTCCAAGTCTCAGCAAGCCCCAGCCGCTTCCTGGCACGGTCTGGAGTTGTTGGAAGCGGGGGAGTAGGCGGGCACAGGATACGGGGGAGAGCTAATGGAGGCGGGGCGCGGAGGAAAAGGGAGCCCCCTCCCGCCCTTGGCTTTCCCGGCGGCTCCTTTCCCACCCCGCCCTCACCGAATCTCCCCCCGCGCTGCCACGTCAGCGAGAGCCGGAGAGAGGACGGCAGCGCGCCCTTTCTCCCTGTCCAGGCCGCCGCCGCCGCTCACCACGGGGCGAAGAACATGACGAAGTGCGGTGCGCTCTGGGCGCCATGGCGCAGCATCTCGGCGCTGTAGAGGTGCCGCGCGTGGGGGTCCGTCTCGTCGCTGGCCGCCCCCGTCTCCTCAGCCCGCGTGGGCGCCCCGCGCAAGACGAGGCAGCCGAGCAGCAGAGCTAGGCAGGCGGCGGGAGAGGAGGCGCCGGGACGGAGAGCTGTAGCCATGACGGCGCTGCGGAGGCAGGAGGAGAAAGACACCGGCCCGGGCAACGACGCCCCTTCTTCCGCCCGCCCCGTCCTCCCTCCAGCACCAGCCTCCGCCCTTAGCCCGCCTCGGCAGAGAGTCAAAGGGCGATCAGGGGAGGGGCTGGAAGGAAAGGGCCGGCGACGACGAGGCGCGTCTTATCTCGCTCTCTTCCCGCGGATCGGCCCGGGCCGAGAAGGGCTCGGAAGGAGGAAGCGCCCATTGTTTTGTTTGAAGGACCAAGGGCTCCGGAGTTCAGGTCGGATAGGAAATTACCCATAGGTTGGCCTTGAGCAAGCCTCCCCGAGTACGCTGTGGAGGATCGCAGCCTCCACCGGGGGTCACCCCCCGGCTTCTTTCTGAGACGAGCCGAGGCTTTGAACAGCTTTAATTCAGTGCCAGGAAGCCGGTAGGCACCTTTTCCCACTGCGAGCGAAGCGGCGTCAGTCTAATTCCACTATCTGCAGCTTGCTATTAAGGAGTTGGGCTACCTGCTATGGGAAAGAGAAATTAGTATAGTATAGTATAGTATAGTATAGTATAGTATAGTATAGTATAGTATAGTATAGTATAGTATAGTATAGTATAGTATAGTAATATAAGTATAATAATTTATTTGTATGGTGCTAACGCAGAGAGAGAACAATGGAGATAACATACCCACAAGGTGGGATTTATTTATTTTTTTGCAAATCACGCTAAATGGCCATTAGAAAACGCTGAACTGTGTGTGCTGGAAAAGAGCTTACAGGAATGAATTTATGTATTAGTATCCCAACTGAACAGAGGAATCCATTCTTCCAGCTTCCTCTGGAAAACCTAACAGGTTGTAGAATCAAGGAGACAGAGTTCAAAATCCCACTCATCTATGAAATTCATTTGGGTGAACTTGGGCCATTGGTTCCGCTCTTCAGCCAAGTGTATCTCAAAAGGGTTTGGAAGATAGAATGGGGAGAATGGTTATCTTGTGTGCCTGGAACTCTTGAGATATGAATCTTATAAATAAATTAACAAATCCCTGGAGCCTGAGTGTAAGACTGCATGCTGACCTAGGCTTAAGCCCCATTCAAGATAATCAGATTCACTTTTGAGTAAATTTACATAGGATTGTACTACATATACTGAAGTTTCATTAATTGCTTTCAGTAAATTATTATCAGAATGATTCATTGCTCTGAACACGGCCCTTATTTAAAATTTATAACTGTAAAGCCTAAAGAGTGGTCAACCAGGTATAATTAGGAAGTTCAGGGGAGTAGCCCTTTTTTCCTGCTGCCCAGCATTTAATTTATTCAGATATGCTCCCTATGATTGAAAAGATGGTATTCATTCACATTTAATTAATACCACCATTGATCCATCTAGCTAAATCTCATGTTTCTACAGTTGTGCTGTAGAGTTGCAAGGAAGAGGTTTTGCCAGACCTCACTAGAGACCTTTTACTTGGAAAGTATGTGTTGGACTAGTGCAACACATGACTAGTGCAACATGTGGACTGAGCACTGCACCATATCCATACAGTTTTCTAGACAACAGTACAGAAATAATTTGCCATTGCTTTCTTCTAAGTTTGACTCTGGAATTTCTTTTCTTAGATGGGCTTCCTTCAAGTTTGGAAAGCCCTACTTGTTCTCACCCCTGCTATAGATTATAGAAGGTTCTCCTTTTAGCTTTACCAACAAGATTGGCCTCCCTGCCAGCAGTTCACACTCCTACCTGGTAGGATTATTAAAACTGCTGAACCCTCCCACCACATCTGGTTAGTAAGACTACTTCAGTAATAATAAAGATTAGAATAGATAAAGCATTGATCTTTCCAGTATGATTATGAAAGCTGGATATTGAGAAAGAGGGAAAGAAAATAGAAACCTTTGATTTATAAACTGTGGTGGTTACTTAGAGTACCAGAGACCACAGATGGATTAAACAGTCCTGGACCAAGTAAAGATTTACTGTTCCCTTGAAGCAATAGCAGCAGGCAATACCTCACATACTTTGGACATGTGATATGAACAAATGTTCAACTAGAAAAATAATTATGCTTGGCAAAGCTGAGGGATGAGATCAAAGAGTTTATTTAACTTTTCTTGGAGGAGCTATGGATTATTGGTGGAAACAGGGTAAGACAAGAGTTTGCTCATGCAGCTGAGCCCATTTTTACAGTAGTAAAGAAAATATAAGCCGCCAAAACAATAACTGATGACCTGTGTGAACTTATCCATTCACTTTTATAACTATATAAATTGATGCCCATCCTTACATCTGATGGGAGCAAATTCCATAGGTTAACTATTGTGTAAAAATATTATCTATCCTAAATCTCCTTACATTTAGTTTCAGTGGGATTTTAAAAATGTGAACATTATGTCTGTGAGAAAGAAGAATTTCTCTCTGTCCACATTGTTCACATCATTTGTGAGTTTAAATACTTGTATTATATCTTCGTTTACTTTTGATTAAGTTCAGAAGCCCCAATTATTGCGGTCCTTCCCCCTTGGGGAGCTCCTCCTAGTCCCTCAATCATTGTGTTTGTTCTTTTCAACACCTTTTCCAGTTGTAGAAGATTTTTTCCCAGGTGAAGTGTTGATCAAATGTATAAGGAGTCACTTGGGAATAAAGCCATCTGCAGATTTCAAGAGAGATTTTCCATAATTATTTCTCTTGGGAGAGGGGTGCCTTAAGTGCACATTAATATGGGGATTAAAAGCCACCAAGCATGTCTTACCTGAACAAGAACTCAGTCTGGAAACCTTTGAATGCTAGGACTTACATCTGAACCATATGACTAAAAAAGGTGATACCCCTGAGTTTGGATCAGTATCTGACACTGCTAAAAAAACAGCAGTCTAACCTTTTGACCATATTTAAAAACTTTTTTTTTTTTTAAGTAAAACCCAAATGAATTTTGTTATTAGGTTATTCTTCAGATGATGTTAGCTGAATGGTGCAAGAGGCTTAAAAGACGTCACAAAGATCTTCAGTAGCTGATCCAAAAGAATATAAATCTGGGAAGTATAGATTATAGAATCAGTTCACGTCAGATGTAATAGTTGCCAAAAGGGGATTTTGTGTTGCTCTGTTCCACTTCCCAAAGCTGAAGAAGACATATGATAGTTTCATTTATTCTGTACTAAACTTCATTTTTAAGTACCTAGACCATGCTTTGTCAACATGAGCATCCTCCATATGTGAGGCTTTAAAGCCCCAAGATCTTTTGCAATGGCTATACTAGTTGAGAATTTCTACAAGTTGAAGTTCACACACACACACACACACACACATATACACACACTGGATGGTTGGATGGTTGGGGAAAACTGAACTAGAGAAAACCTGTAACCAAAACAGATTCTGAATTAGGGAAAAAATATGTATATATTTTTTGCAGCTCTGTTAAATCATAAAATGGTGCTAATTCTCAGAAGCCTACATTTGATCCTTTGGGTCTTTTAGCAAATTGTTCTCTGCTGCTGTCAAGCTATGCTTTGCATATTTAGTTACTGCTATCTAGTTTTTGCACATTGTATTTCTGTCCTAATCATGTTTCCCCTCTTGTTTTATGCATTCATTGTTCTGTTTTTCATAAGCCCCTGCAAATTTAAGCTGAGGGCCCTTTCTGAAGCTCCTTTGGACTAATTCTCCTGTGAGGAAGAGCATTGGCTCTGGGAGATGATAGTATCATCAGGGCCTCCTAAACAAAACACATCCATCACTGTTGCCATTACACAAACCATACATTTGAGAACTGCTTTCTGAATTTTCAGGCTTTTTTAAAAGCACTGTCCCATTTTCCTTACTTGTTACATCTTTTTAGGCTGGAACTATCTTTTTTATTATTCTGTAAACCACTATGGAAAAATGGAAGCTGGAGAGTTGAGTATAAATGCTTTGAGGAAGGAAAGACGCAAAGAAAGAAAGAAAGATTGATTTAATGTGATAACTGTGATAGGAACTGCCAGTTGAAATTTACACTTTGCTCTTCATTTGTCTCCAAACTCAGGCTTTTGAAAGAACACACATTCATTGTATGCTGTTATGAGCCTTTCAGATATCATACTGAGTATGTTTTATTTTGACAACTGTCCTTTAATTGAAAACCTAGTCTCTCCAGAGAGATTATATAATTTTCATGACAACCTAATTGTCATTAGTTGGGAAGAATATTGTAATTTTAGAATGTGTGTGTGAAAGGGATTTTCTATCATCTATAAGCTTCTCTCTCAATTACTTCAATAATTTGCATTTCAGATCTCTCATGTAGGGATGGGAGTGGAAACTACTAAAAATTATTGAATGAAATGACCTAATGTTACCACCTACAGAATAGATCATTGACAGTTAAGAAGCAGTTATAGGTCAGAAAGTACAATTTCAGAATTAAATGATACATTTGCCCTTTCCAGGATATGTCAATGAAGACACATCATTTCATGCTCCAAGCATAGTACTTTAGCTCATTGTTGGGTGCGGGGATATAACTTTTTTCACCAGCTATGTAGATGGATGGAAATGTAGCCTTCCCCACCCCACCCCACTCCTCCTGCCTTCCTGGCTTCTTTCCTGCTTGTTCTTTGCCATAAGTTTTAATTCTTCAGGAATACCACCTCAGTGTGGTGGTTCTTCAAGAATACCACCTCACATACCCCAAAAGTAGCTTCCTCTTTGCAGCATATTCTTTGTTGCTTTCTATGCTGGATGTTTCTCCCAGAACAATTACAGGGATAAATTGAATTCACACATTGCTCTAAACTATAATACTGTTTTCTTGTGATGTAGCAAATATGTGGTTCCTATATCATATTAAGCTATGCATAGATAGATTTTCTTCATGACAGCCTGTCCCTAATCTGGTCCTTCAGGTCTTCCAATTATGCACCCATTGCTACTTTAACTGCGGCCATGCACCTTGTTGCTGACATCCTCTTCTTCTCTTTCCTTCCATCTTTCCCAGCGTTAGAGCCTTTTCCAGAGAGCTATGTTTTCTCATAATATGTCTGAAGTATGATCATTTCAGCCTGCTTATTTGTGCCTCGAGTGAGAACTCTGGGTTGATTTGTTCAGTGAT